ATTTAGCAGCAGTACTTAAGACTTATATATTGCTTCACAGTGCTTTACAGACCTAAGCGGTTTAGAGTCAGCATATTGCCTCCAATAATCTGGGTCCTCATTTTACAGACCTTGGAAGGAGGGAAGGCTGAGTCAACTGTGAGCTGGTCAGATTGAGCTCCTGGCTGTGGGCAGAGTTAACCTTCATTCTAATGACTTGCACCACCATGGCTCATTTGCCTGGATTTTCAGTGAACCATACAACACATTTTAGTCTTACCTTATTGTATTAGCCTGAATGTTAAACTCCAAAGTCATACATTGCTATAAACCAGCATCTTTATTCATATGCTGAATAAAGCCTTCCTGATTTAGAAATCCATCACCTTGATCAAAGGTTATGTTGGCTTCTCAACTTGACAAACATCCGACTGTACCAGAAAATTAGTATGCTGAAGACTACTTACTTTCATATGACTGATTGTAATTATCCCAACTTAATTTTTCTACATTTTGTTAAAGACAGGGCAGAAACCTATATCCCACATTAATAGGACCTTTTTCTTTTGTTCTCATATTTTAATACTTGCTAATGCTCATTTATGAAAAATAATGAGCTATAAGGCATGATTTGGGAGCTAGACTATCTACTCTAAGCCAAAACCATATTATATACTTAGTTTTGGTTTGCATGTTATGAGAACATAGCCAGAGGTTTGTCAATGGTGGACTGATGAATTAATGTGTTGACACAGCCAACATGTTAAGCGAAATCACATGGAATTTTTTTTTTTTCAAAGTATGCATTTGATTGCAGTTTTACATAATTCCTTCTATGTCCATACTTACAATAACTTACCTGAAGCATCTTACTCTATTATAGTTAATTTAATATTAATATTATAGTTAATTTAATATTAATATTATAGTTAATTTAATATAGTCCATTTAATATTCTACCTTCTATAAACACCATTTGTAGTTATTCAATTATATACTGAAAATTGAAATAACTTAAGAGTGAAATCCATCATGCCTGTGTATACAGAACAAGCAATTTTTAGAAAAAACTACCAGAGGTTTTTGTAGTTTTAGTTAAATATTCTGCATTATTTGTGGAGAAAGGAAGGAATCAAAGAAAGAATTAAAGGGAAAGCAAGCAAGCTGGGGGTATGCATATAGTTGCACTGTTTTGGTCTAAAAGTAGTATTCATTCTGGCCACTTGATGGTGCTTAAAAGCAATTGTCATTTTTCACCTATAGAAGAGAGAATCTTTGTAGAATGAAAAGGCAGAACCTACCCTTTGTACTATTGTATGTAAGTACAGTAATGTTAAATTGTCAATAGCAGAACTGCTTCTTTTATTCCAAAGGAAGTGATTACTGTGCCATTTTCATGTGAATTGGCTGGGTTTCTTGTGTTTATTTCATTATGCTTTTACTATTAAACTTATGTTGTTATAACTAAGCTCTTTCATGATGTTGCACTTTTTGCATGCATAACTACATTTAAGATTGTTCAGAGTTGTAGATTTCATATTTTCAAAAAATGAACAATCAACCACTGCTTGTTTTATTATTCCAACAGGTTTTATAATTTTAAATGTAAATTACACCCATCACTTGATAGAACCAGATCTGAATGCGAGCAATTACATTTCTCATTCTATTTAAAGATTTTGATTAGATGTACATATTATGCAAAACCATTGCTTAAATAGCAAACTATGCCTTGATAAGGCTTTATAAATTTAACAGAATCCTAAAAACACATTTGTCACTATTGTGTAACTTCTGTCTCCATCTTTTTGGAGTATAATTTTATTATTTATTTATTGGACTAACAAAATGTCAAAGCAGAAAGTAAAACGAAGTGAGCATTTGGGTTGTTGTGAGCATGTTGTGGACATGTACAGCTGGTATGATGGACATGATTAGTTACAAACCACCTACTTACTATTTATTTAATTGAATACATCAGGCCACCAGACTCTATTGCAACTCCAAGAAGCATGAAAAGCCTTTAAAAATATATAAGAACAACAATATGTCTGGAAAAGAATTCGTCTCTAAGCAGAGCCATGTAATACCCAAGAGGCTCATCACCCACTCTAGCTCTGAGGGGAGGGGGGGGTTGTTTTTAAGAGCTCCTCTTGGCTGTACAGCTTTTTGGTAAATGGCTTTTAAAATGTAAGATCCCAGTAGGATCACCAGACATCAAGATTATACGAACATTGATGATGTTAGCTAGTTTGGGTAATGAAACAGTTGCCAAGAAAACAAGCAAGCTCAGCACCAAGGACTCTTCAGTAAACCAAGCTACAAATATTTTCTATTAGCATCAAGATTATTCTTGAGGCTATGGTTTTATTTTGCAGCATGCGGATGTCCCATTTGAGTCTTAAAAGTGTAAAAATCTAAAACTAAAAACAAAATTAAGTTGGGCATAAATTTGGATTCCCAAATTTACAAAGAATTGAGGAAAAATACCTTATTTGCTGCCTTGCCGTGCACTTACAAAGCATTTTGATTCACTGTACTTCCTACACAAAAATTTTCAACATATTACTGCTAACCAGTAGATTTAAATTACATAGTCACAGCTTGTAGGCATGATACATCTCAAATTTATGGAGGCACCTGGCTTGTTTGCTGTAAATCTGTAAAGTATAAATGTATAGAAATACCTGCAGTTGCTTCCTATAGTATCCTGAATCCAGGAGGTATAATTTTAACAGGATACGGATTTCACATCATTGCAATGTATGCCCACAAACACCTCCTTTTGCCCTGCCAACTTTCTAACCCGACTGACCTTTTATATTAAAAATGTTTTAATTATAAAAATTTGAACCTGGCACATTGCAAAACCAAATGTTTATTTCTAGCATTTATTTTTCCAATAATGCACCTGAGGTCTGTTAAGTATTTTAGACGACAGAAGAGGTGAGAGAACAGAAACCAGTGCTTTGTGTGGAAGTCTGCCCAGCTGATCTGAAAAATAACCATAAGCAGGAGGGGAGTATATTGCTGGAAGGAAGCATAGACAATATTATGATAAATTTATTCCTTGTAATTAGGTATGTCACTCATGGTAATCATTTTTCAGCTAATGTTGAAAGGAATAAAGGTAATCTTTGACTTACGACCAAAATTGAGCACCAAATTTATGTTAAGTGAGAAATTTGTGAAGTGAGTTTTGCCCTATTTTATGACTTTTCTTGCCACATTTGTTAAATTAGTAACACTATTATTAATTGAATCTGGCTTTTCCATTGACTTTGCTTGTCAGAAGGTCACAGAAAAGGAACATATGACCTCAGAACACTGCAGCCATCATAAATATGAACCAAGCATCCAAATGTAAATCACGTGACCATAGGAATGCTGCAATGGTCATAAGTCACTTTTCTCAACTTCGAATGATCGCTAAATGAACTATTGTAAGTCAAGGACTACTTGTACAACATTTTAGGCTGTCTGAATCATCCACTCCCTCTCCTAACAATAAATGACAGGCCCTGTTATATCTGAGCAGAAAAATATTCTATAGAAAGATTGCTTCTGGAAGATTATAATTCAATTTGACAATTGATTAAAAGGAGCCAAGTGGGCAAAAGGAAGTCATTCTTCAAAGAATGGGTCAACTGCTAATATAATTGAGTATTGCGATCTCTTGAAGTCTAAGAACCATTTCGTAGGCATGAACATTTAATCTTAAACTGACAATCACAAATGTGTTTGGAGCCAAAGGGTAGGCAGAATGTTAACAAAGGGATTAAAAATAGGAATATAATTGTAAGCAGCAGTTACAGACACTTAAAGCTTACCTTATGAAGAATAGGCAATGATAATTCACAAACACAACACAAGAACTGATAATAAGATTACGTTAATGTGTTAGGCAAATGAACAGTTGTCATGGGATAGGAAGGCTTTCTCTATTCAAAGCCAAGAGAACAAAAAAAATTTCTAATTAAACTATTCTTGGCTAACAGTTTTTTTTAAAGATATTGTATAAAGAATGGAAACTTTTAACAATCTTTAGTGAGTAAAGTGAGTAAAAAAGTGAGTTTTTGTGAGTAAAATATGTCTTTTAGTCTAGAGGCACCAAGTCCTAGAAGTGAAATATTGAAACTCATCTGACCAACATCTTCAAAAATGCTTTTGAAATAAAATTGTGTCCATGACTCTGAAAAGATTGTAACATCCCTGAAAATGAAACTTAAAGATGTTTGTGTAGGTATGCTTTTCTTCATTACAGCAGATGGCTGATCTTGTCCAGAATTGGATTCTAAGACCTAATAAGTATTTGGATAGGAGTCTCTGAGGGAATACCATAGTGGAAATGATTTTTTTAAAATCTACTAAATCAATAACAAGAGACTTCAAGAGAATTACTGAAAGTCACCACAATTTGAGTTTAAGTCAAAGAAGATTTGAACTTTTTAATGCTTCTCTTTACAGTTTTGAATTTAGCTACAATACCTTATCTCCAGTTACCGTGAGTGACTTGCACATTATACTAATTTTACCAGCCCTTTACTAAATAAAGCAAAAGTGAGTTTGCACAACATATCCCCCCACCCCCCCGAAACAAAGTTTATAAATCAAATGTCTAGAGGTGGATAAATATTTAGCCTGAACCATACTTAACATGTTGTATCAACCAGGCATTCCTGATTTTTTTTAGAGCAGTTACCATCAGTCCATAATACCTAAGCTCATATGTGGTTATCTACGGTACTCCTATAACTATAATGAATATAACGTAACAACAGTTTGGGCAAAATTCTAAATGACTATTTCCTATTAAATTCACAAGATGAAAGCGGACAAATTATTCAAAAGTTAAGGAGTCATAAAGGGAACTTTGTGTATCCATTCTTGCATTGTGATGATTTTGAACTCCTGAGCAAATATTAACAACTCTTCAGGTACCCACATTCATTTATCTTAAAAGTAATAGGCTTTTTCATCTTGATTATAAACAAAGTTGCAGAAGAGATTGTTTTAGTCAAAGTAAGCAATATGTTTATTTGAACTTCAATAAGGATGACCCCCCCCCGTTTTGGAATTAAAAAAAATACTGAAAAAGTACTACAGCTTGAATGAATATAAAAACATTAGCAGAAAGAAAACAATTAAAATAGTAAAAAAAATAACCTTTTAGTTTGAAACACTTGAATAGGTTGATTAAGTCCTCCCAACATAAGCTAATATCTGCCAAGTTGGCAAAACACAAAAAGTTTTACAAAATAAAAAAGTTGCTTCTGTTATGTGAACTGCATAAAACTGCCCATTTAAAAAAAAAAAAGACTGTAGTTTTGTCTTGAAATCTACAGACCTTGCAGTACACGACAAAAGCATTGACCCACCCTTTCTCTATGAAGCTGCAGATGGCAGAAATATTAGTTAATATTAAGATGAAGCCACTATTGAAAGTGAAATGCACACAGAAAGACTTGGTCTTGTTTTAACAGGCTATGTTTAACAGTATAATTCTACCTGTCCTTTGTCAGCTTCATTTCCCACCCAATTCCCACATTTATCTAATTTCTTGTCCATCTCTATATTCCAATTACACTGTACATACATTTAGGAGAGAGCATACCTAAAAATTCTTGCAGCATTATGGTCAATACAGTTTCAGAATATTACACAGAAGCCTCCCCCCTCCCCCCCGATAGCTACTATTACCGAGACTTTCAAATACCAATGCAAACTTTCCTTTGAGTATAACTGTCAATGTTGGATATTCATTTCAGGACAAAGTACAATGAATGAGTCACATATGGTGATGCTAGTTTGCTAAGTAAGACTGCTTGAGAACAGTGTTCAATTGACATTAAGTTGGCCATCCCTAGCTTTTACAATCCCCTGCCTAAAGACTGGAAAGAGATTACTATTGTGAAAATTGAATTTTTAAAAATAACTTAGTAGGAGCTTTCTTCCTGATCTAACAATTGGTCACAGATATCAAGTGTAAAGGCTGCTGCCGCCAGTTTTGTACATGTGTCTGACCCAAACATCCTTCAAGTACATGCAAGGCTCACTAGATTCTGAAATTCAGAATTTTTTTAAGACACAGAAGAGATTGGGTTATGAGGAGAGCCCATCTGTGTAAGAACTTTATCCAGCCACTGAAGGGGACCATGCAAATGAATTTCAATCCAACATGGTGTGCTTGTGACATCTTGCCGGTGATATTCAGCTCCCCAACCCTAGGAAATAGAAAAGTCTTAATGTTAGCCGATGTGTCCTAACACACATACTAATATCCTGATCATATTAGCATCTTGATAATAGAAAGGTAGTTTTTATTTATTTAGCATATGGTATCTACAGAGGTCATGCAATCACTGATACATAACATTAGACACAAATATGTTTAAATTATATATATGTGTGTGTGTGTGTGTTTTCTTAAGTTTTCGCGGGTACTTACATGTTACATGTTACATTCAGCTTTGTTCGGGTATTTTCCCACGTCATTGTAGTTGTGCCTTTAAAGTTGTAGCAACGTTTCGGCAGAATCTCATCTGCCATCATCAGGCTTCTGTACAGTGTTCATCTGTGAGTCAGACTTTTACAGTGGTTTCAGATTTAAATTTGGGGCAGCCTATTGCTGTGCCAGAATGTTTTTTTCTTCATCCTGATTGGTTGGGAGTCTTGGTCTGTGTTTATTGGTCTTGGAGTTTGCTGTGTTCTGCTTGATTGGTGTTTCTAATATTTTCTGTCTGTTTTTTGGCTCTTTTTGTATCTTGATTGGCTCGCAACATTGTGTTACTTTATTGGAGGCCTTTAGTGCAGCTTGGCTCCGGGTAAACTAATCATAGCCGTCCATTTACCTGGAGCCAAGCTGCACTAAAGGCCTCCAATAAAGTAACACAATGTTGCCAGCCAATCAAGAAACAAAAAGAGCCAAAAAACAGACAGAAAATATTAGAAACACCAATCAAGCAGAACACAGCAAACTCCAAGACCAATAAACACAGACCAAGACCCCCAACCAATCAGGATGAAGAAAAAAACATTCTGGCACAGCAATAGGCTGCCCCAAATTTAAATCTGAAACCACTGTAAAAGTCTGACTCACAGATGAACACTGTACAGAAGCCTGATGATGGCAGATGAGATTCTGCCGAAACGTTGCTACAACTTTAAAAGCACAACTACAATGACGTGGGAAAATACCCGAACAAAGCTGAATGCCATACATACATACATATACATACATACATACATACATACATACATACATACATACATATATATATATATATATATATACACACACACACACACACACACACATACATACACACACACACACACACACACACTGCTCAAAAAAACAAAGGGAACACTTAAACAACACAATGTAACTCCAAGTCAATCACACTTCTGTGAAATCAAACTGTCCACTTAGGTAGCAACACTGATTGACAATCAATTTCACATGCTGTTGTGCAAATGGAATAGACAACAGGTGGAAAGCATAGACACTTAGCAAGACATCCCCAATAAAGGAGTGGTTCTGCAGGTGGTGACCACAGACCACTTCTCAGTTCCTATGCTTTCTGGCTGATGGTTTGGTCACTTTTAAATGCTGGCAGTGCTTTCACTCTAGTGGTAGCATGAGACGGAGTCTACAACCCACACAAGTGGCTCAGGTAGTGCAGGTCATCCAGGATAGCACACCAATGCGAGCTGTGGCAAGAAGGTTTGCTGTGTCTGTCAGCGTAGTGTCCAGAGCATGGAGGCGCTATCAGGAGACAGGCCAGTACATCAGGAGACGTGGAGGAGGCCGTAGGAGGACAACAACCCAGCATCAGGACCATTACCTCCGCCTTTGTGCAAGGAGGGACAGGAGGAGCACTGCCAGAGCCCTGCAAAATGACCTCCAGCGGGCCACAAATGTGCATGTGGCTGCTCAAATGGTCAGAAACAGACTCCATGAGGGTGGTATAAGGGCTCAACATCCACAGGTGGGGGTTGTGCTTACAGCCCAACACCATGCAGGACGTTTGGCATTTGCCAGAGAACACCAAGATTGGCAAATTCGCCATTGGCACCCTGTGCTCTTCACAGATGAAAGCAGGTTCACACTGAGCACATGTGACAGACGTGACAGGGTATGGAGACGCCGTGGAGAACGTTCTGCTGCCTGCAACATCCTCCAGCATGACCGGTTTGGCAGTGGGTCGGTAATGGTGTGAGGTGGCATTTCTTTAGGGGGCCGCACAGCCCTCCATGTGCTCACCAGAGGTAGCCTGACTGCCATTACGTACTGAGATGAGATCCTCAGACCCCTTGTGAGACCATATGCTGATGCGGTTGGCCCTGGGTTCCTCCTAATGCAAGACAATGAGAGACCTCATCTGCCGTCATCAGGCTTCTGTATAGTGTTCTGTATAGACGAACACTATACAGAAGCCTGATGATGGCAGCTGAGATTCTGCCGAAACGTTACTACAACTTTAAAAACACAACTATAATGACATGGGAAAATACCCAAACAAAGCTGAATACCATACATGTAAGTACCCGCGAAAACTTAAGAAAACATATATAAATATATGTTTATATATATATAAACATATACTATATGTATAAACATATATATATATAGTATGTAGACAATACAATATGAGATAAAATATTAAAGTAAAACCATGACCAAATTACCAAAATATGGTGTCTTAGAGTCACATAGGATAGTTGCTATTATACAAAGACAGTAGGAAATTCTAATAATTAGGCATGATATCTCTTTTTAATGAATTAAGGTGTGTTGCCATATTATGCTCTTTGCATGTTTATCAGTAATGGACTTAAAGCATGGCTCGATAAAAAGAAAACAATTTTCTCCCTATCACTGGTGGGTTTTGCAGTAAATATTCCATTTCCACTTTCCGGAGAAAAATATGCATCAATGTATAAGTAGTCATTGACTTATAACCACAATCGTTGTAAGAGTGAAAAATGGTCGTAAGTCATTTTTTCCAGTGCCATTGTAACTTTAAATAGTCACTAAATGCACTGTTATATAAGTTGAGGACTACCTGTATAAGTAATCTGTGTTTTAGTTTCGATTATTTGTATGGAGTCATACACTTTACTATCAAGGAAGCCAATTAGGTACAATCAAGGTGTGGGATCAGACCTGGGAAGAGCCAGATTCTATTCACCCCAGTCACCCAGCAAGTGATTCCTGTCAGGAGAAAAAGGAGGAAGGAATGCTATGTATACTGGCTGGAATTCCTAAAGGAAAACAGGATATAAATCTGACAAATAAATACCTATTTAATATGCATCTAATTACTAGAAATTATGCATTAATTGATAAGTTATTCCCAATAGGATATTATGTTCCAAAATTAAACTGCTAAATTTTGTAGTATCTTCAACAGGAGCATTACTCTCCACTGGCTTTCCACTGAATGGCACAAAGATTGCAACACTCAATTCTGGTCAAGATTGTATATCAAAATATGACTATGAAAAGCATTCCAAAGAGGTACTGCAATAAGCAAAACATTTTTATTCAAAGCATTAAGGCAGCTGCATCCTTTAGAAGTCTCATATATCTGCTCGGAGGGCTGTTTGTAACTGCTGTCAGGGCCTTTCAGCTGCCACAACCAGCAATACTTCCTTTCCCAAACACATTTAGTGCAGATCTAGACTGCAGAAACTCTTTTTGTCTACATGCACACGTGTGAGAGAAATTCAGCTGAGCTCTAAGATTTTAGGCAAATAAATGCCATTAGAATTTTAGTGTTTGGAAATCAGGCAGCGAAGTGTTAGCATCTTAAGTTCTTTTTGCTTCTTGGGCTCAAATAGTCACTTGTTCATGCATACAGATGGAAAGCCTTGCTTACCTTTACAAAACTCATACGAATAGTGCACATCTTAGTGAGTTCATATACTGTTTCAAAGCCATGGTTCACTGACTGAGCTAAAAGTTGAGCAAATTCTTGATTGTTGAAAATTTTTAAGCTGCAGCCACTCGGAATTTTGCAGACGGTAGTTGGATGAAAGCCATGATGGTAATTGCAATTTCGGCTTTGCACAAATATACTACTGTCACTAAGGCATTCTGCATAGACTTCTCCGCCAACGTAATACAGATGAACTCCTATAAAAGGGATAGAATATTATTAGAATTTCTCTGAAATCGTAGAAACTTCTACTTCTGACACAAAATATAAATGAGGAATTGCATTTACCTCAATCAACTTAGCCGCTGTGTAGAGAAAGTAAGGTTTTAGTCATCTGCATATACTCTTACACCTAAGTATTTCCCCAATTAGGAACTACAGGAATACTTCTAGATATTTATTTTGGAAGCCTAAAACTATCAAAAGACAAGAATTCATGAATTTACATTCATTAATATAGCCAATCTGTTTGCAATTAATCAAAACTATAACTTCTTTACGATGCCTAACTGGAATGCAATTGTCTTACACACATCTTGAAAAAACCCTTTTTGTCTTCTATGTAGTCAGCTTTCTCTAACTACCAATGAAGAGTGGGAAACAAAGATCTCTTACTTCTACATAGTCCTGGCTTTTAAAAAATATTTTGAGCACAACTGTGTGCTAATGCTTCCTTTTTCAACAAATGCCTTTGCCATTCATCAAAATTACTCAGAAAATTATTTTTCCATAGGATTCATCCCAAGTCTTAAAAAAAGATTCTAGAAAACCCAAATCCAAACTGCTACTATCCACTTCAGTTCTTAAAAGTAAGGATGCAGCATGTAAGGTTATATAATTTTGCCAATTGAAATAAACGTGTTTGTCTTTTTAAAAAAACTTTAAAATTCCAATTTGCCATTGTGAATTAGAAAGAGACACGTCCAACTACTTTTCCCTTATTCTTCATCTACTATTACACAAAATACACAAATACTTCTGTATTTAGGAGGCTCAATAGATATTTCAGCCTCCAATAATAAGGACCTACTATTAAATCCAGTACTTCAGCCATAGCTCAGATTCTTTTCAAATGGATTGTTCCTAGAAAATGTTGTAGCAGCTTTCCTTAATCTGTATTAGACTATTTTTCTCACTATCTCTGGGCAGCATGATCAGGTTTTTTTCTGGAGATACATCCATCATATTGGGAGAAAAGTGTAATCCCATTCCTACAGGTTACCAGCATTTTGCACTGATAAACATATGAATAATGTTGTTGAATACATCATTTTGCAATGAAGCCTTAAAGCTGTTAAACGTAGTTTGCATCCCCAATGTACTGACATGATCAGAACCAACAATACCTTTGCCAATATGCCGCCTAGTATTTTCAATAGTAGAATTCCGGTTAACATTTGACAAGAGCCCCAGGCAAAACCTGTTCTTGTTATTGGAGGGATCAGTGAAGCCATCCACCAACAAACTTGTGGAAGAGGCATGAAACGCCTCTCCAACACGATTATTGAGTTCATAATAGACAATAGAGCACCAGTGTTTTGGCTCTTCATAAGCAACTGCCTGAACATCTGCAACAGAAGAAAAACAGAAATCAGCAATGAGTTAGAATTAATGAGTTCCTGAGCTTTAAAGTTTAATTTATTTATATTCATTGTGTAGACTTTGGCATAGGATCATGGGGAAAAAATCTGGTGGTGTGGCTTCTAATTAGAAATTCTCCCACAGTGTCCCATTATATGATATATTTAAACCATATTAGTAATTCAATCAAAGCATTCTAAGCTGGGAAATGGGAAGGAGGTGGAGCAGATATTTGAGCAAGCTGTATGAAGATTTCTTTTAAAAGAAGAACAGTTCTAAGCAGCTTTGCATGTTGGCTTACAAAAATAAAGGGTACATAGTTCTTAAAGACAACAAACACATTATGGCATAGACAGTAAGTTCTCTTCCTAAGAATTTATTTATCAAATTTAGTCTACTCTAACAAAGTGAACACATTAATTATGTCCCAATATTACAGTTCATGTAATAATTACAGTTCTTTAGGCTTGGTTTAACCATAATTTATTGAATAACCTTTAATGACTGTCCATACAATACAGTAAGGTATAAAGTTTGTTTTATAAACCACAAAAGCTGAGTGTATATAGAACCCAAACCTGTGGAGTCTTTGATGCTCTCAAGTTCGGTTATTTGCTTGTAGATGTTTCATTATCCAACTAAGGCAAGCTGCTGTATATAAACAAGGCAAACTCCGCACTAACTTGTACTGATGCAACCTGGTCATATACTGAAATGTCTGAAGCAAACAACCAAGCTCATGGAGCACCAAGGATTCCTTGCTTCACCCCTGAGCTGCAAATATTCTTTTTTTTTTTTTGAGACCCTCAAATCCAACCCATGTTATTGGTTACTGCAATATATAAACCTTGTAAATTATTTTAAACAAAATATAATGGAGTTGTATTTCTGTAATGTTTATTTAAGAGATGCATTTATTAAACTTTTTGTTTATTTTACAGATTTCAACTAAGGAAGAATTCCAGTCAACAATAACCATTCCTCCCTCTTAGCAACCAGAACTGCCTCTAATCAGAAAAAAAAATCCAATCCCCTGTTCAACAAGGGAATAAAAATTGACATAATTATATTCATGCAACTACAGAACCTCCTGCTACAAATACTCAAACATCTTAACAAAGAGTAATGAAACTGAAAGACATACAAGGTCCATTTTGGGGGGAGCACTCATATAAGAGGAGCTCATTCTGGACTATAATTTTCAGATTGTGTTCATGCAGCCAATTTGCTTTTGATGAGTTTTTAATTTACAATCTCATTAAAATGTTAAGAGGGAAAGTGCTGCTTTGTTATGAATAGCAACAATAACCTCTTCCTGACTCACTGAACTACAAATTTAAGGAAAATGTTTTTGCTTTTTCTGGCTAAAGAAACTGATTGCTTCCAGGAACTCTTGCCTTCCTTTTTGATAGTTATCTTTACTCAGAGTAATTCAAATGTATATGACTGATACTGTCTGTTTACACAATGTTATTTTTATCCAAACAGCTTGAGGCAACATACATGGGCTTCCTTGCATTTTATTCTCATACCCATCCTCCTATCAGGTAGATTCAGAATAAAAACATGGGAGTTGTTCACCATTACTTAGTAACATTAATGAGCAATCTGGGGTTTGCACCTTCTCCCCCCATGTTTATTTGACACATCACAACTGCTTGCACAATACATAAACCCAGACAATTTTTTGTACAGGTAAGCATTTATCAATATGTGATTCAATATTTAAAAAAGGAGAGTTCCCAATATGGTTTTCTCAAATGAAATTGAACAGCTAGGTTCAAACACTATATTAAGCCAGGGTTCATTTAAAAATGGTTTGTTGAAAAAGCTCCAGATAGCTGGTGTGGCACAACATGTTAAGGATAGGCCAAGTGCTGATGCAAACATTTCGTGGCATTTTTAATCCTTTCAAGTCACTGTTAGGCAATCTTTAATTATTAGTAACTCGGTGCACTTTTCACAGCAAGATGCCAGTAACTATTACTGCTACACAGCTTTGCCCTAGTTCTCAAACTCAGGAAGAAATCCTGCCAGCTGGCCATTCCTGAAGAGTGAAATCATCTCTCTCTCACACACACACACACACACATACAGAGGCAGATTTCATAGGAACTTCCTCACATTTGCCTTAAGTCATGCAGAGCAGGTGCGTTTTGTCTCTCCATTCCCAGCATGAGCCAACAATAGGAATTACCCAACTTCATTGACAGGATGCAGCTTGTTAAGTAAAATCTCTTAAGACTAACAAATCTTCACAAGGAACAGGCCTCCAAATGTCTGTAGCCAGAGAGCACCGGGGTTTGCATTTACTGCTCGTGCCCTTCATAAACATGAACTGCAGCAGACCTTTTTGAAAGGCTATTAAACAAAGGATGTAACCATGCACATCAGGTAGAGGTATGGGGCAGAGATAAAGAGCTTGCTGAATTAGTGGAAACAGATGTGGAATAAATAATATGAATGGGGAAAAAAGTCTGCTTCCCCTTCATAAAATGAAGAGAAAGTACTCTAATCCACTCTAATTACAGTATTTTAATTACTAATATTACTAGTAGGAATCAGGTTGACAACTTTTACTCTTTCTGCATTCTTAAATGCAATCTGCTTCATCTCATTTGCTCCCTGCCAAACAATATAATCCAAGTCCCAAAAGTGCTTTTTCAAGAAGCAACTGGACTTTCTGGTTTTTCTTTGAAGACGTTTCGCTTTTCATCCAAGAAGCTTCTTTAGCTGACTGGATGGTGGGGAATATAATCCAAGATTAGCATGTAGAAAGGCACTGAAGCTTACCTTGATGCCAATTCTAGCAAATGTATAATACTTCCCTGAAATTGGTGTAATTGGAGTCCAGCTGGCATCCAACTCAATACAACAGAGCCCTGGCAGCAGATATACTGCCAGTTCCAAGATTAATGTCTGGCTTAAGGACAACCACTAGGGGTAGTCCTTAAGGATATGAACAAGCTGCCCATTACTGAAAAAGGTGGATGGAATTCTCTTCCTCAAGCTCACAAAGCACTGAAGCTGCACAATATTTCCAGAACTGCTGAAGCCAGATGTTTTTAAGCTATAGGTTGTTTTCGGCCATTTTCATTGAGTCCTAAAAACACTGCACTGCTCCAGTGCTTTCATCTGCTGGAGGAAGGACAATACCATTTTTAGTAATAGGCATTACATTTCAACTTAAATACAAATTTGGGTTAAATAAGTTAGGGAATGGAACTAGTTATTAACCCATGGACTGCCTGTAACGTGTTCATATTCGTAAGTTTGAAGTCGATTCAATTAGATGCCAAAGGGATCATTGGGTATGTGCACTAATCTCTTTCTCTCAAGTAACTAATTTGTGACAACTCATACCATACCCCTTAAAAACTCAAAGACCAAATCTCTCAGCTTATACATAGATAGAAGAATGGGACAGTCCTAAGGAATGAAAATATTTTAGAATTGAGATATAGTACATTTATAAAAAATTTAAAATATGCAGAAAATCATAGTTAAAGCAAAATACTGGTAAATTTGCCTTTCTCAGCTACAAGGACTACCTATAATAAACAGATCAGCAAAATTACCAAGTGTTTGCATTTATCTACTAAAAACCTGCTTTAAAGCAGAGAAACATGAAAAAATTGTTGCTCACTGTTATCTTTCAAATACTTTTCAGTTGCTTACTAGGCTTAGTAGCAGCCAAGTTATCCAGGTGGTTGCATATCTGGTCACAACAGCTTGATAAGGCGTATTGTGATTGAAGTTTCTCCAAGTAAAGCAAAATGTGTGAACATATATTGAATGCTAGTGCTCAATTAAATACAACTTTGCCTGCTGTACCATTTTGCACAAATTTTAACAAGAATTTGAGCATATCCACTGTTGTTTTTAAGTGTAGCACTTACAGCTGATATATGTCATTTTATCATGTATCTTTAGCAGGAAGTTAAGACATTTAATGCAATGAAAATATAAATCAGGAAGTAAAAGTGTCATACACATGTATAGACATTTTTCATAATTAAAATATGAAGTGTCACCTCCTCTGTTTACTTCTGAAGGAATTGAAGGTGCCATCATATTGGTCTCCATTGGTTGTGAACCATCCTGGGTCATCTGATCTTCTGGAGGTAAGTAAGCAGGAGGGGGAGTATCAGCTAAGGTAAAAACAAAATACTGTTATTTCATCCATTTTACAGATAGTGTTAAACTAAGCCAAGCTACAATGTACTTATAATCATAGGAGAACACCATCCATTTTTTACTCATCTCTGTTAATATGGCTAACATAGAAATTATTACTCTTTGATTAATTATACCTAAGTTGACTTTTCCTTGAGGGAATTAGGTTTTGGAAAGTTCTGAAACAAATAGATCAAATCCCTATATATGACAAAGAAGTGCTGATGATCTGCATACAGGTCTTTTTTCCCCAATACATTTATCAGTAGACAGATAGTACATCCTAACGCACAACAAATTTAAAGCACAATTTATTGATGATGGCATTAAAATTTAATAATCAATGGAGGCAAAGAACATCAATGTAAGACTTGCTTTTAATATTACTGTATTATTTTTATGTTAACATTGTCCTGATGTTTATTTCTAACATTCTCTTAAGACAAAGGTATGCTATTATCAACTGAACTCATCCTTAGGTTTCAACAACCAAAATGTAGGGGGAAAAATTAGAGGATCTAAGCATTTACTTAGTGGGGGGTTTTGGAAGTTGCCATTCTCCCATCTTAAGAAACGGACAAACACCCATTCCCAGGACATTCTTGTTTATCTATTTTTTCTATAAAGGACACCCTATTAAGCACAAATAGCTTAGTGAGATACAGCCAACATATCACTTCATCCTATACCCTCTCGTGATTGGGGGGAAACTATCCATATGCTTTATGTAAGCAAGCTATATATATTTTATAGTTATTTTGTAGACTCAATGAAGCCTATATAGTATTAAGGAAACCTGAGGTAAGAAAGAAAAAAATAAAACAAGTCTGTCTTGGCCTGGTGGATGGTAGCCTGAGCAAAGCAAGGCCAAAACTATCCTACTAGGAGGAACAACCAAATCCTTTCTATTCCATTTCTGGAATGTGAGGCATATATTCACTTCAGAACACTTTAGTCCCACTACAAAAAATGATGCAGTTACTAGAAAGCACATTTTATCAATAATTCTGGGAATATTTTGTTGGCTTAACAAATGCACCCTCCTAACCCTTCATATTTCCACTCTTTGCCTCCCGCCAGGCAATGTGCTATCCCAAGATCATTGCCCATGCTAAGAAGCTGCTGCTGGGACTTCTCAGAGGAAGCTTACCTGGCATCTGAAAAGGGCTTCCCGGGTCAGAGCTGGCAGGTGAATGAGGGTAGGTACCACTACTGCTTCCAGGCGAATTTGGGTAGCTACTGTTTGGTGAATGGGGAAATGGGTGACTGTTGGGTTGCTGGAAAGAGTCTGGAAAAGTAGCGTTATGTGGCATATGAGGCTCATTTTGTCCCAAGTTGCGAAACTGTGCCAGGAGACTGTGCTGAGGGTTGTATTCACTGTGTCTAGGAACAAGCACAGGAGGAAGAACTGAAAAGGAAAGAGAAAGGGGAGGGTTGAAAACAAGCACATTCTACAGCTGGACAATCATAATTTCACTTGCAGTTAATGAAGAAGTCTTATTTTAGGAACAAGCAGGACTAAGCAAAAATATTTCCTTGTGTTTAGTTACTGTATACGTTAAATTTTTGCTGGATGCACCAACTGCCAGGATGCCAAAACTAGAAGTTTAGTTTTCAGAGCAACTGGGAGAAAGATGCATGCAAAGTAATGAAGCTGCACTGGGATTCACAACCAAGAAGAATAGCAAAGATAACCTACCCTCACTTTCCTCATTTTCAGCTCCCAAAGCTAAAGAAACCTATACAAGGGCCAGTCTTTAATATAAGCAAAGTATTGGGTACTGGCATCCATTAATTTAAGCTTAGCTACTAAGGGTGCTAATTGAACCTTCTGGATTCAATCTAGAATAGTTCAAGTTTAGGTTTACTTCATTACACATGATTTATATCCCATTTTTCCTCTTTTTGAGTCAATATATATAGTGCTGCCTTCTCCAATGTTTTATCCACAACAACCAACCTGGATAGATTGGGCTGAGAGACAAGGACTTATTCCAAGTCACCAAGGAAGACTGATGAGAGGATGTGTGTTTCCTGAGGCCTAGTAATACTGCATCATAGTGAAACAGTCAGATATTCCCACTTCTCTAATATTTAAGCAAACACATGCAATACATTTCAAGCAGAGGTGGTATTTAGCAGGTTCTAACCAGTTCTGGAGAACCGGTAGTGGAAATTTTGAGTAGTTCGGAGTACTGGCAAATACCACCTCTGACTGGCCCCACCCTCATCTATTCTCTGCCTCCTGAGTCCCAGCTGATCGGCTGGGTCTTCTTTTGTTGCCCTGCACAGGACAATGGAACTGGAAAGCAGGTTAGTGGGGTAGGGAGGGAGTGGGGATTTTGCAGTATCCTTCCTCTGGAGTGGGGTGGGAATGGAGATTTTACAGTATCCTTTCCCTGCCACACCTACCAAACCAAGCCCACAGAACCGATAGTAATTTTTTTTTTGAATTCCACCACTGATTTCAAGTCACTTACGTTTCCCATAATATCTCATGCACTTAATACTACTTATTTAGCTTGATTATTATCTTGGGAAGCATCATGTTTTCCCCTTTATAAAAAACTAAATTACAAATATCTGGGTAAGACCACTTAAAATCTCCATAAGTTATGCAATCAGAAGAATTAATAAATAGAAAGAGAGGTTCAGGCCCTAAATCGTACATACTGTTTAATATGGCCAGGCCTAAGAGATTGACATGGGTGCCATTATGGCATCTTTGAAGGGAAGTTTCTGTTATACACATTGAACCATTTCATAAGCTATGCTAAACGTTAATATATTTTTTCTGAATTTCGCTGAACATTATGAGTGACTCCAACCATATGTGAATCCAACCATTTGTAAACCATTGCTTATGATTTAATGTGTTATGTAAACCCCATCAATAGTGGTTTGTAAAATAAATTAGAAATGTTGCTTGAACTAGATCAATGTTGGTAACCATATTCAGGAAAATACATATTTTTAAATTGTAAAGTTTGATCAGGTTCAGAATCTCCACTGTAAAAAATAAAGGGCTAAAATGCACATAGCAGGGGAGAATGCTGATTTTCAGAAATTGCTGCCAGCCCAGGGGAAGAGATATAATTGAAGAGACAGCATGAGACTTCTGCTGTATTCAGCCAAGCACACCTGTTGCCACAAAGCAAACAAGAGGCCCACATCTGCTCTTTGGAGAGGCTGTGAGCCCCTGGAGGGTAAAGTTGTAGAGGTGTTAACTCTTGCCTAGACTAAAGCAAATGCTCTACTGCACTGGATAGAGCACTATTATATCGTGGACCTAAGCAATCTTCTAGAACTCTGTATTTTCCAAATATGAACTTCCAAAATTTTCAACTGGTAGGTATGCAAGCTTGGAATGTAGGAAACTGCTTCCAGTGGAACTGAAGGACACTAGATTATGGATCTAGAAAGAACAGATATTAATGTCCCCGATCCTCAAATCACATTTCTACAATCTGAGACAAAGACCAGATCTAATATATGACCACCTACAGTGTTTTACCTAGTATGATATGCAAAAACCACACTTTATGATTTAGTGTTATGTGTGAAGCAGATTATATTTTGCCCAAGAAATCATAGTTTAAAAAACCTTCTGATTTTGCTTCATGTATAATATAGGCTTCCAAGAAATGTCAGTTACTATTACTGGATGCATACCGAAATATCTCTGACATTACAAAATTATAAACACAAGATCAAAATATTGCACAATGCCCATCTTGCCAACTTCAATTGAAATGACAAATACACATGACACATTTGTATAAATAAATATATGTGTATGAGTGCATGTATGAATTAGTGCCAGAAGCTACATTACAGAAAAAGGCAAGACAAGGCAAAAAAAATGGTATTAACCAAATTGATAAGTATTGATCAAAAGTATTTTACACCAGTAACATACCCCAATTATAAATTAATTAATTTCCATTTCTTTCATAGATGCACAAATTTTATACCAGCCCACAAGCATTTCCATTCTGCTTCCAAGCTGAAACAATAGAAAGAAGATTATTCTAAAAGGGAGGAGTGGATGCCTTAGGAAGGGAATAGAAGAGTCCTCTGCAGAGTGAGATTGGGGGGGGGGGGGGGGTAAAATGTAATCAATAAATAATAAATAGGGAAAGGGAAGAAAAAGGGAAGAAGAGGAAGGAGAAGAAGTATCTGAACAGGCTAGGCTAGACTGCTAGAGAATAGTTTCAAAAAGCCCTAAAAATCGTAAGGTGAAATATTGATGTTGAACCTCTTTTTCTATCCACAAAAGTGAGAACACCTAAAATGAGACAAAATAACTGGAACTGCTTACAATCACCATCAATAAGTTGACACTATCATTAAGCCAAGACTACTTATATTTTCAATGTTATCAACAATTTGTTAGCTGCAACTTACTGAAATATATGAGGGACAAAACTTAATTAAAACTGAAGCTACTTTAATGAAATAAAATTTAATCTCATCAGCTGTGTTTATGTTAAACTTCAACATTACGCAGATACTCCCTCCACCCCATTTTAATTTTGCTTAAAATGGTGATTAGGTAACCAATATAAATACGCTGAGAGTTCACTTGTAGTGTTTAGGTAGGTTATACATTCACACATATAAGCAAATGTATGTCCTACAAAAATGTGCCCATGAAGTTGCATAATATACAAAAAGGGCTAGTTACAACTCACCGTTTAATTCTGACTTATTTAAAATACCAAATTTGTCAGTGTTATGTTTAATTCTAATTGTTCAAAGACACAAGTTTGGAAAACGCTATCAAGGCTATTAATATACACATGAAAAATAGATAACTGCTGTTACAACCTACCTCATACAGCTGTTATTGTGGGAAATAATAAAAAAGTGATGTATATTTTACACTGAACTACTTACTGAATGAAAAGATATAACTATTAAATAAATAAAGTACGTATTAGTCAAGGTTTGCAAAATTCCAAGTCAACAGACACAGGGATTTTAGAATCACTGTCAACATAACTATTTGCTCAGATGGGTTTTGACTAGAAAAAAAAAATCTGTTCAATCTGTTCTCAGACCTCTTTTTAAAACTGCACTATTGTCCTCTGATGTGGAAAGGAAGTTAATATGACACATATATATTTCCAAGTAATTTTATGTTCTCCAATATATCCTTGGGCACTTGGTTCCTTCAACATTTGCTTGTACAACATGCTAAGATTCAAACAATTTATGAAAAGTTTAAATCATCAAACTGCTAAAGTAATTCAGAAATGATGTCTGGATCCAATTAATACAAAACATCGCAGAAAGTTTCACACATTACTTCAACAAATTGAGTAAATTGCTCATTACTTCCATGTGCAATATAACTGTAGTACCAAAAGGATCTGTTTCGAATCATTTATGCCTTAGAAATGCATACTAAGATTTTTAAAGTTGAGATTTTACCAAGAGAATGAACTTTTACAACTTTGCAAAAGGGTTTAGGAGAACTTGTCACTACCACCTCACCTTGGCCATCTGGCCCTAGACAACTCATTGTGGGGACAACTCTCCCAAGTCTGGACCTTCTGCTTTTACCAGCTCGGGCAGGGATAAAAGTCCCCACGCTCGGAATGGTGTGTGTGTCTGTGTCAGTGTATGTGTGGAACAGTGATTCCCGCTTAGCTGCCTTTTGTGCGGGGGTGCTGGAAAGTGAGGTGAGGAAGCCTTTGGAAAAGAAATGTGGGCTGGCAGGAACTTTTACCTTCCTTAAGCCAGGCCAGCTTTGGGAACCAGAGTGGAAGGTCCAGGCTTACAGCGAGTTGGCTGGGGTTATGTGCAGGGGTGGGATTCAAAAATTTTAACAACTGGTTCTGTGGGCGTGGCTTAGGTGGTGGGCGTGGCTTGGTGGTCATGTGCCTGGGTGGACATGGCTTGGTGATCATCTTATTGGCTGGGCATGGCCAACTCTATATCACTCACATCGAGGCACGCATCTCCTCGCCTGGCCTCTCATGACTGTGGGGATGCTGTAACAGTCGTAAGTGTGAAAAATGGTCATAAGTCACTTTTTTCAGTGCCACTGTAATTTTGAATGGTCACTCCACACCAGCGAAGTAGCAGCAAAGGAGGGGGAAAAAAACTCCAGAGACATTCCTGAGACAGGAAGTCTAGTCCTGCCAAGAATGTAATAAGGGTTAATGGACAGGCAGTTTCTGTAAGCAACACCAGAATGTTTCCTTCCTGCCTTCTTTACAGGATTAGGCCAGTAATTTGTTCTAACAACCGGTTCTCCGAACTACTTAGAATGTTAACAACCGGTTCTAGCGAATAGGTGTGAACTGGTAGAATCCCACCCCTGGTTATGTGGTAGTAGCAAGTTGTCTCATTCTGCTGCAAAATAAAATGAAATCTATTTTACAGGAAGGAAAGATGCTGGAAGTTTGGAAAGAGGTAATATAGCACTAAGGCCTAAAAGGGATAAAGTTTACTTGTACAAGAAAATACAGACCATTATTATTATTGAATTATTATAAGTTATTCACTATGATTGTAGCTGACAAACTGAAAATAATCTTGCAAGAATTTATTCATGAAGATTAATGATTTTTTAAAAACTAAAAGCAGTTAAAGCCTGTATTTGAACTGCGTGGGACTTTCTAAAATATTTGGAATAGCACAATGAAAAACAATATGTATTAATTCCTTTAGATGCCATAAATGTGGAAACACTTGGCATTACCCACAATGCAGAAATTGATGATGAAGAAGATAAAATTTGCTGAAATATCTTTCTCCATAGAAAAGGCATTAACTAAATTTACTGCTAATGGAAAACCCTGTACAGACTCTGCGCATGAAATAGAAAAAAAAAACCAAACAATTTATAATGTATACTTTTAATAGATAAATAACATAGATTAAAAATGAAGTTGTGTTATGAACATAGAGTAAGAGGTACATTAAAATAAAATCATTTCTTGTGTTGTTCAATATCTGGGGAAAGATTTAAAAAAAACACTACCCAAAGGTTCCACTGTGGCTATCAACATTGGAAGCAGTCACATATCCAAATCTATTGGATTATGAAAATATTGTCAGGTATAAAGATTTACTATATGATACTGGAGAGCTTAAAAATAGGAACCAAATACAAATTCAAGGAAAGGAGATAGCATGGTGGCCCTCTGCACAAATACAAACCCATTATAAAAAAGATAGAGAACAATTTGGCTTTAATATGACCCCACAAGAATTAGATAAAATATGGCTAGGAGAGGAAAAGAAAACAATTAGTAAAACATATAAATATCTTTTGGATTACAAATTAAAAGAAGAAATAGTCACAGAATCTATGATAATTTGGGCTAAAAACGTGGGTCATAGTATTGAATTAGATAAGTGGGAACACATCTGGCAAACAAATTTGAAATGTAACTACACACAAGGAACATAATTTCACATGTGGTGGACTTGCCCATGTGCTCAGAAGTTTTGGAGGAATATTAGAAATTGGATTTTAAATATAACAAAACAAAATTTAACTTGAACCTGAAACCTTTCTGCTAAGCATGATAGATTTAAACATGGAGAAAAAATATCAATATTTAATTTTGCACATCATAACTGCGGCCAGAATAACCTACGCACAAAAGTGGAAACTGTCTTTCATTCCTTCAGAGGATATGGTAATTAAAAAAATACATGAATGTGCTGAGATGGATAGCCTAACCAAATTGTTAAAAAATAAACAAGATAGTGACTATTATGAAATATGGAACATTTGGTATGATTGGTTAAAGAAAAGGCAATATTTGATATTTGGATAAGTTATGGAAATGACAGAAGACGTGCATTTAATTATAAACTATATAGAGAAATTAAAACATTAAAAGAACGAAGGAGTTATTGTAACAAGGCAGATCACGTCAATGGTAAAGATAAAGAAAACAAAAATTAACCATTGCTCAATATACGTTGTAAAATGTATGTGTGTGTGTGTGTGTGTATATATATATATATATATATAAATATGTGTGTGTGTGTGTGTGTGTGTACGTGTGTGTATATGTATGTATATGTATATATGTGTGTGTGTGTGTGTGTGTGTGTGTGTGTGTGTGTATATATATATATATATATATATATATGTCTGTTTTAAATGTATGTCAAATACATGTTTTTTTCTAGAATAACAAATTTAAAATAAAATAAAATAAAATAAAATCATTTCTTATCGTTTGCTTTTTTGTACTTTTGGCTTTGTCTTTTCTTTTAGTACTTTCTTTTCTTTATTCTAAATATTAATTTCTCTTGACATCCTAAAAAAAGTTTAATACAGTTATTATAAAAAAAAGAAAAGAAATGCAGCTAGGGAGCATCTAAATTTATCCATTGTATCAGTAGCCTAAAAATGTTTAAAACAGAGTATTATTTGGGAGTTATACATTGTACTACTCATCTACTTAAAATGTAGTGTATGATATATGACATGGAAAGAATAAGTGCCTGAATAACTGAAAAAATGTATTCTGCTTTGTAAACCCAGGGGTGGGTTTCTACCGGTTCTGTCTACCTCTGTAGAACCGGTAGCTCTGAAGAGCAGCAGACATAGAACTGGTTCTATGTCTGCTGATGTTTTTGCCCACTCGCTCACCCGGGGGCCCTTACCTGATCTTTATTTCCTGATTTCTCAACTTCAGCTGCCGAGCGAGGCAGAGCTGCAGTTAGAAAAGCAGGAAAAGAGGGCTGTTTCAAAGGTTCTGTCTCTGCACACAGTGTGCTGATGTGTAGGGAAGCTTGTAAATCCCGAACCGGTAGTTAACCCTGTCGTATCCCACCCCTATGTAAACCATATAAATTATTTTGGGTAGAAAGTCCTATTAAAGACTTTGCAAAACAAAAACTTTAAAATTAGAATCAACTTTAACAGTATGGAATGAACTATGATGTTCTCATTACATCATTTAAACTTAGTTTCCCTATTCCTTTTAGTGGAGTGATTTAAACAGGTTATGCTTACTTCAGATACAAAAGCACATTTAATGGGCCGGATAGATTTGGCCTCATCTTTAAGCTACCATACTTTTGTATACATAGCACAAGAATAGTTTCATACAGTCAATGACAGTTGGCTGTTACAGAAATGCCTGTGCAAGGCCTTTCTTTCCGACAATTGTGCAGGAGTGTTTGCCAACTGATGGCAAACTTCCTCCATCATTTCTTCTTCCTCCTATAACCACACATATGCAGCAGTCTATCAGGAAGTAGTCTGACAAAGGCTGACCTCTCCAAGCTTTGAATTGCCCATTAAAGTTTAGCTGGATTCTGTTTCAATTTCCAGCTGACTTATCAGACTGCTGACTGCTTTCAAAGACTATTAGTCTCTCCTCTTGGTTTCAGAAAAACAGTAACAACAATGCTTCAACAATTCAAGCAACTTCCTTACTTATTGTGACCTATAATACAGTTCTTAAAATCTGATGATAAAGAAAGCAGTTTCTATGTATTGTTTGCCAACTTGCCACAAATCTTCAGACATCATGTAACTAAATTTCGCTCATTAATTTAGTGGATGTAATGCTTATAAACTAAAATCATATGACAAACAAGAATTCACTAAGTATGTCGTATATAGCCTTTTCTGTAAACTCAGAGAAGACTTTTCCCAAACAAAGTGCAGCAGATGTTTAAAGAACGGATGCACCCAAATCTAATTTGGAAGTCACTGCTCAAGGCACCATCTCACCTAAGCAAGTTCACTTCAAACTCAGCAAAAGACACTGATGAAAATCATAGATTGGTGCTTTCATGTTTCCATTTCCTCTCTCACAAGGCAATTGCCATAACTACCTTAGGGAAGCTTTAAAAGGAAGTCAAAGTAGAGAGAGAAGGATTGAAACAAACTGCTAAAGGAACTGCAAAGAAGCTAACAGTAAACTTCCCAACCAAGACCACTCCCAGCAACCCTGACTGGGCAAATCACTAGAATATAAAAGGGTTAGACTTAGGAAGTCAATGTGCTTTGTATTATTGCTATCATGCTGTCAATTCCAACCACGTTAAAAGTCTGCCGGGGTATTTTAACAAATATAAATATAATAAATTGTTACTTTATTACAGTTTAGTAGTGGTAGAATAGGAAAAGGTAACACACACACACACACACACGGTTGAATTGGTGCTATGGACTTGTTAAAAGTAATTGTAAATGGGGAAAGAAGGGGAAATGAACATACAATGAAATTTCCTACCTGGGCTTTCCACTCGTTTGTAATGATAGGGATTGATGCAGACTTCCTTCTGTTTTGAACCAAAGGGAAACTCACAACATTCCAGTGGTTTAAGTTCATGATGGCTCTGAAGATCGGGCCAGCGCCACACACGACAATAAATTACATGGGGAAGCCCCTTGCGATGAGAAACCTGAAGTCTGCCATCTAAGGAACGAGGAATTGTAACACAGTTGCTTGGCTGACCAGGACAACTTAGTGCTTTTTCCAACTCTTCCATTGCTCCTTTTTTCTTCTTAAGTTTTTTAACTAAGGCATCAACAGCTTTCTCTGCCCATTTTTCCTCTTCATCCCCTTGCTTCCACCCCAGCAGTCTTTTAACAGCTGGGCTTGTGAAGGAGAACAAACTTGTTACATTCATAGTGATAAATTAGAAGGAAATATTGAAGCACAATTTCTATGTTAAAAATCCTATTTCTCCTTCAAACAACTGTCCAGAATAAATTCAGATGATCTTTCCCAATTCCAAATTCTTGCAAAATGAACCCAACATTCCAGTCTGATAGATGTCTTTGGGGTTCCAGGTCTTAGTCAGGTATCTACAGAACATAAAATTGGGGAGGGAAACGAAACAAGTTCTGTTAAAACAATATAACTTTGCCAATATCAACAGCATATCTTTTCTACTTCATTGGCAAAATTCTGACTCTGACAGGGCATTTTTTATTATTACTGAACGAAGCATAGTGAAGATTTATCGTATAATATTAGTTCTTTTGTATTGTGAAATAAGGCCAATTCTTCTACTCATATTATATACATACCTTTCAAAACAGTCATCATTGGTTTAGATAGCTGAAAGAGTTAAAGGACATAATGTGATTTCTATCAATCTTTGAAGTCGATCAGCAGTTAATTAGTCTGAACAGTTTGTTAGCAATTCAACACATTGATGGCTGATATTCCACACCTGAATTTGTTCATAGAGTTTATAGTCAACAGTAATAAAGTGTAACAGTCTGAACAACTATTAAGTTTTTAGTTTAATCATATAGACTTATAAAACTGCCACTCATAATTATGACAAATTAATTGTATTATATTTAGTGTTGTTATGAACCAGTCAATAAGTTTTAAACATCCAGGTAGCCAATAAATTCAGTCAAGTCAGTCAGTCAGTCAGTCTGTCTGTCTGTCTCATACCAAAAGGGGGAAAAATGGCTTAATCAGGATTCATATTGCTTTTAATATAGTCTATATTGTACATACTGGGATACTAGACCCATTTAAGTATTGTTTCAGAAATATTGTCTTACTTAAACAGAGAAATAGAATGACTATAAGCAGCCAAAAATATCAGTGGGAATTGAAGACTTCTGACTTCCTGCTGGCTTCTCCATTGAGTTTCGGAAATATCCCTTCATTTCTTTCTTCTTTCTTTCTCTCTCTCCTTCTTCTCTTCTTTCTGTCCCTCCCTGCTTCCTTCCTCCCTCCCTCCCTATCCTACCCTCTACTCCTTCCTTCCTTCCCACTTCCTATATCTCCACTCCTTTTCCGTCCCTTCCTATATCTACCAATTTTGACCAATTGAAAATTACAAACAAGCAGACAGAAGACTAAAAGGTGGTGTAAGGATAGGAAATATATAAACAATTGACTGATTTTGATGTTTTAATGAGTTCTAACACAATCTCATTGCTCAGAAACCTTGCCCAATAAATTTAAGGCACTAGACTAGATGGCCAGACTCTGTGAGTTCTAGTCCTTCCCTAGCCTGTTTCTGCGCAGCCTGTATAATTGCTTTGGGGGTGTGTGTGCTCTGGGGGTGAAATTTCTCTGCAGCCCACCAAAATTTTCTCATGGCCCACCAGTGGGCCGCAGCCCCTCCAATTGGTGACCGCTGCTTTAGAGAAGAGCAGTATAACTTAGCAGCAACATAATAAGAAAATACTTATTCTCAAGAAGTCTAAATCTCTAGAGCCAGACGCATCCTAGAGTACTGAAGGCACTAACAAATGGTTTGGCTGGAAACATATATTAAGAAAACCCCGTGAACCAGGGAAGTGCCAGATGACTGATGTTCCAGTCTTCTAAGAACAGAAAAAAAGTAAGAAAGTACAGACCCTGATATTCTGACATCGGTACTTGAAGAAGTTCTTGGAGTAATCTAAATCATTTCTGTTAGGTAGTGTCAAAAGGGGCAATCAGCCAAATGAATCCTACTGAGATCAAAACATGTCTATAATTGACATGTGGAAAGCAAAACATTTTGAAGAGTTTCTTTCAGCATTTGTTGTTTATTGCAGTTAAACTTGAAAATCTGACTTGCAGGAAGGAAAGGAGAAATGTCAATTTTAAAGTACGTATGTAAATGAAGAAAACCCAGTCTAACTTGTTAGGAAGGAGGAGACAACCCCCAGTTTGTGAGCATAGCATTCATGAAGGAATTATTTCAATTAAATTAGGCCCCAGGACTAAGAAGACTAGTGGCATATATCAAAAACTAATTGGGTTGCTCTAGTTTGCTACAAAAATGCATTAAGAAATCCTTATCCATTGGCCATGCCAGGGTAGGATAATGGAACATCTGAAAAGAGTTGTTATCCTAGAGCTTTAGCACAAGCAATCAAGCATGCCACAGTCAAATGCACAAGTATCATAAGTGCTAAGAATTGGATTATAAGAATTTCTATGTTAAATTACTAGAACTTTTTAAAAAAGAGAGTAATACCTGCTCTAGAATTGCCAAAACAATGGTACAAATCCACCTAGAAATAATGATTTTGGAAGGTTCAGTTTTGAAGACCAGTTTCTCACACAAGCATTTGAGCAGATGGTACTAAGGCAAACTTTCCTAACCATTGTCCCTTTTCAGAATACTTACAATTTACAAAAAAATTTACAGTTTTACAAATTTAGAATACGGTACAATAGCAAATATTTTCAGAAAGCGGTGCCAAAACAGGTCGAGCTTTTGCTTTTTCAGAGATCCATTCCCATTTTTGATAGCAACAATTACAAACAGCTTTTTTAAATAGCAATTTTCTCATAATCTGTGTAGGTGTATTAAGAAACACACAGGCTAAAGAACAGACATTTCCAATCTATATTTAGATCTGCCTGGTCAGCTGTAATTGCATAATTTCATCAGAATCTTCTGCAACGGAAATACATCCATATTCATCCAGCATTCAAAGGAAACATCTTTACAAGCCATATCCTTTTACAGACCAACACATGGTCTCATGCTATTCTGTCCAATTGTTAAATATCTTCTTTAGGAAGGGCAGGGAATTTTAATTTTTTATCCATTCTAAAGACATTTCCTTTTATGATTTGAATAGTAAGGAAGGTGGAGCCTCACAAACAGGTGAAAAGGGATGAGGAACAAAGAAAAAGAGGGCAGACATTTGTCATTAGTGAACTTCTGTAATGGCATTTGGGAATGACCTTGGGAGACAGGTGACAGGAGATGCTGCCTAAGGTCTGGTCAGATAAAAGACAGAATAGCTCAGATGGATAGTGGGCAGAGCAAGAGGCTCAAGAAGGGAGACTCCCTAGTTTCTCCGACTATAAAGGAGATGGGAGGAGATATGTACTTTCAGATTCCAAGATTATCAGGCAGACCAGCTAGGAAATATGACCAGATAAACTAATTCTGTGCCAGTTTCATTAACAGAATCTTGCAATTTATAAACTCTAGTTTACAGTTCACCACAGCTGCTTTCAAGCCATTTCATAAGCCAAAAAACAACCTCCCATTGATTCAGATTCTATTATATATAGATACAAGCACTTAATATTATCTGAAGATAAACTGTACACTTAGTATATTAAAATTACAGTCAGAGTCTATTAACCATTTTAGTTTCTTCTTCAAGCTTCCTACTCCAAACTATATTAACTCCTTCACTTGAGCCTAAATCCAAGGATACTAAAATATGCTGGAAAAAATCCCATAGTTCTCTTTCACTTTGAAAGCCTAAGATCTTTTTCGGTGAAAAATGAAACAAGCTATAACTTGTGAATTCATATCTAATCAAATTTGCATTACATATCTGCAAACTGTTTGGAATACTGACAGAACTAGACATGCTCACGGTTTCCTCATGGAATGCCAGTATGAGCAAGTGTTAAATTGTAAGCTAAATACTGCTGACAGTAAATGCTTGTTTTCCCCTATTTGTTCTCATGCATATAAAACTGTTGCATCTCTGAACAGATAATTCAGACATGCTTCCAATGTGAGCATTGTAGTGGTATTTTATATATCTATATTGCTATTTCAAACAATTGGACTTTTTCATGTAAAGAGAAATGTCATAATATCAGCCAGAAGAACCATATTTAAAAATGTATATTTTACAAAATACCATTGTCTCCTGAATTTATATAGCTTCAAGAATGGATAAATACAACTAAAAGCATAAAATTGGATACCATATTACAAAGTTTAGATTCTCTCAAGCTTTACTTAGGAATTATACCACGCTTCAAAAATAATTCCTTGTAAAAGGAAAAGTAATGTGATAGTATAAGTTACAGAGGTTTTAAAAATGGATACACAGATTTAACATTTTGTGAATTTTCAAATAGAAGTAGTATTTATACTTATATTTTACATTGGTTAAATAAGTTTCTCAGTGTAAATGGGATGGTTTCTTAATATAGTGCAAAAGTATATTACAAGTAGCCTTCAATTTACAACCACCATTGGGACTAGAACTTGTTGCTAAGCGTTACAGTTATTACGTGAAAAATCCATGATCACACTGTTTAGCAATGGCAGTTCCACTAATGACAGGTGCAGCCATTAGGGAAGCACCTTATGCTTTTCTGCCCTGCTACACTGGCCTTTGCTTCACACACACACCCTCAGCCCTGCCTATCTTCTCCCCTATAGCTGCCCTTTCGGGTGCCCTGCACTTTGTCACATACTGCTGATGCCCCCTGCACCAGTGTCCCCCACTGCCCACAGCTAACTTTTTTCTCCTGCTGGTGGCCCAGGACTTAGGTGCTAGGTGGAACATATAGTCCTAGGTTGGATGTGTTGAGTGCATGGAGCATGGAGAACCATTGGCAGTTCCCAGAGCAAAAGGGGAATAAGTATGGGAGGTGTTGTTTGGGGTGATGATAGAATTGGAAGAAGGGGAGGAAAGTGGGCTTTTGGGAGGAGCAGCGCATGTACTCCAGTTCAAGTATTCCTGGAAGAAGAGTCTGTGGGCTTTAGCAAGAGGTAGATCGTCCAAAGGCCTCTGGTCAGTCTCAGCCCAGACTTCCTCCTACAAAGTGGATGGAATTTGTGGAGTGAGAGGAATATGCTACCTACAGGCGGGCAACATAGAGTAGTCCAACCAATCAGAAGGAGAACAGCATGCAAATCAGACAATCAACAAGAGGCACCCCAGAACTTTGCCCAATGTCACTGCTTGTTTATCCATGCTAGAGCGACCAGTGGATAACTGTATGAGGTGGGCATTATAGAGAAAAAAGCAGTTTATTTGCTAAGCACAAAATCTTTGCACCAGCCCTGCACCCTTTTAGGTTTTGTGTTCTTTCTTGTTTCTTCTAGTAAAGGCTCAGCCTTTTCTTCACAAATACTGACTAGGAAAAAAGGAGGAATACCTTGACGCACCTGACAGAGGCATCATTAGCGGCTGCAAGGAGGGTGGGGCAGAGGCACAAGCTTTAAAGCCTTGATTGAAGGACAGGGCCATCTACTGGCTTGGGTGTCTTCTCTAAAGGCCACTGTTGACACATTAGGAACTTCCAGTTTTCAGATCAGACAGAACCATAAACTCAGATTTCTTTGATTCTCAAGGATGAAAAAGAAGGGGCCAAAATTGATTGACTTG